GGGGGTGTGGGCAGGGTGCAGGAGGTGTGTGGGCAGGGAGTGGTTGGGTGTGAAGGGTGATGTGGAGGGGTGTGAAGGAGGGTGTGATGTGTGGGGGGGTTCCCCCCTACACTTCATCCATGGCGCACAGCCCCTGTCACCAGCAGCAAGCAGTATGCCCTCGGGGTGCTCATGGCCCATGCAGGGAGAGACCCCTTTGGCTCACATGCAGACCCCAGGACTCAGCCAGAGCTGCTGTGAGGGGGGGATCCAAGTGAACAGTACAATGGAAAATGTGAAGCCATCAGCATAATGAAGATCCAGGCAGCAGTAAGGCAAGAAGCTTGTGATATACTGATCCTGATTCAACTGTCAGTAAAGTAGCTTAATTTATTTAACATTAATGAAAAGACTTTAATAAAAATTGAAGTAGATCCTCAGACAGCAAGAGTAGTAGGAGAAAATGGTTGTGTTATACAGGAAGTCAAACTAAATTATCAGAATGGTGATTTATATGGCCCTGAAAAGAGCTGTTTACGTTGACATTTCTTTTGTGGCCATGAGTTCAAAGATTGAAATCCAGCCGCCAGCGTGATGACATTTATTATGCTTTTGCACATAGTGGGGAAGACTGCAGGCAGGTTGTCGTCTTCCCCATTAGAATGGAGCAATGATTTGGACAGACTGGAGAAGGAAAACAAAAAATTATAGTTATTAAGATTAGAAATTAGATTTTTTTTTTTAGTAGTGGGATAGTTATGAAGGGGTGGTTTTGCTGAGTACAGAAGTCATTGAATTTGAGAGAACGAAAAGAGAAAAGAAGTTGGAAATGGAGTGGAGTTTCAAAAGGAAAAAAAACGCAGAAAAGTGTCAGTATGGACGATAAGTTAAATTTGGAAAGACTGAGTTAGAAATGGTAGTCGGGCACTTGTGAGTACATGTGTGAGGGAGACAAGGGGATGTGAGAAAGGACAGAGGTAGATATAGGAATGGAGGCAGTAGTTGGAATTACAAGTGTAATGATAGAGTATGTAGAAAAAAACCTTTTAGCCAGGATGAAAGTATGTCCTGGTAACTAGGGCCTTAGTGCAGGATTTAAGAGAGCTGGTTTCTAAACCCTGCTCTGCCATAGACGTTATCTATACTTTTGGACCAATATTTTCTGTGCTTCAATTTCTACAACTTAAGACAGAGGTATAGTGAGGTATAGTGAGGATAATTCAGTTAAAGGTTGTGAGATGGTATGATGGTAATGAAAGCCATATATATTAACCAAAAAAACTAAATTAGTGTCACAGTATCTTTGCTTCAGTGTTTAGTGGAGGGTGTAAATATGAGAAGTTAACATTGTTTGGAGTGTAACTAATGAGACTTGAAGCCAAGAAAAATAAGGAAACTGGAAACTTACTGGAACTCATTTTGGAATGGTATCCATCCCTGAACTGTGATGTGTTTTTGGAACCACTGTTTCACAACAAGTTCTAGTATTTGCATTCCAAACTTTGTTGATAAAGCCTTTTTTTTATTTGCACAGCCCACTTACACTTGGAGCAAATTTACCGACTTTTTAATAATTAATTTCTACAGTCATTTCTGCCTACAGCCTTTCATCTACTGTAATGGTTCAGTTGGAGTACTGCCACTTCTGAGATAGTTTGTGTGAAAACTGTGACCCTTATGAGGTGAATTAGTATAAAGTAAGGACAAGTAAGCTTGAAATCAAATGGGGATACATACATATCTAACAATTTGGGGGAGTCAAGCTTGCAAACCCCATAATCTAAAGCCATTTCCCCAAGGGAGATTCAGTTTATTTGAAACAATCAAATTGTTCGTAGCATGGAAAAAAGACACCTAAAGAATAGGAAAAGTTCCCATGCACAGAATTTCTCTTAAATCATGCCACTTCATGGGCAATATTTCCTTCCCCTGCAGAAAAGAGGTTGAACTCCTTGAATCTCAGGGCACTGAGAGGTTTCTGCTATTTCTGCTCTCTGCAGTGAAGGGAAGTTTATGGCCCCATATCTTTATGCAAACACATTTAAGCTTATTAAAAACTGAAGACAACCATCCACTACTATCTAAAAACCATGGGAATACTAGCAATTTTAGAATGTTGCCTTAACTGGCATATAAAGGTAATTTAGTTTTTCAGTAGACTTGTATCCCCACCCTCACATCCTTTTGTTAAATTGTATGTATTTATTTTTTGGTCTGTCCTCTTTGCTCCATTTTCAGTGTCTCCTATGCAAAAAACAAAACTGCAATGTTCAAATTATAATTTAGCTTTCAAACCTATAATTATCCCACCTAGCCAGAAGATCTGTGCCATTTGGGATCTTATAAATAGAATAATTGGCCCTGATCCTGAATGCTTCACTCATTCTTCTTTTGAATTAAGCACTATTAACTCATTATGAGTGCTTGTGTAAAACCAGACCCACCCCCCTATCCATAATTACCTAGACATGGGAGTGCATCAGATATCAGGACATAACAATGAATCATACCTTAATGATGAATCATACCTTAGTAATGACATTTTTTTCTTATTCTTTTTACAGAAGAGAAATGCTGATGATGTGGTAAGTATTTTCCGTGTTGATTAGGTTTATACCAAATGCTCTAGCTGCAGTGATGCATTCAAATTCCCCATAGTAAAATAATCACTGTTTTCACAACCTGTGTCATATTAAAGTGAGCACAATGGGTGGACTCCAATCTCTGTTGTGCACATAGATGACTGTTTTCTGCCATGTACCTAGGTGGTTTTGGCCCTATCTCTGTACTGAGGATGGACAAGTATGCATTAGGGCTGTGCGAAATTTCGGCAGCTGTTTTGTTTCAGAGGTGTTTCGGCCCATTTCAGCACCCGAAACACCAAATCCGAAATGAAACAGAAGGCTCCAAAACATCTCTGAATCTAAACAAAACCATCTGAAATGTTCCAGAATGTTTAGGATGTTTCGGAATGTTTCAGAGGTGGGTTTGCAGGGAAACAGAAACTCGGAAGAGGGAGGAGGAAGAGAGTGAGGAGAAGAGTTATTGACATCTGTAGCTTGCCAGTGTCTGTGATCTGTCCCTGAGGCCTGTTCCAATCCCAGTGCTCAGGGCTGGCGGGGAGGAGAAACAGCATATAAGGCTCTGCGTGAAGCCTTTCTCTGCCTTTTGTGAGCTGTCTGTTTGGAAGCAACAGCATGTGAAAGGTACTGGCTGGCTGCAGTGGCTGGCTTCCTAGTAGTCAGTCTCTTGCTAGTCTGTGTTCTTGGAAAGGATTGGATACACCTTTCCAATATATTACAGATAGAAGATATATTGCACATAGAAGATACAATACACACACACACACATTTTCCAGCACAGCAAACATTATGAAGTGTACTGAAAAGGCAGGCACCAGGTCTTCTGGCAGGGGAGTTAGAGAGGGTAGGGAAAGAGCTGCAAGTTCCCCCTCCCCCCACAAAAAAAGCTTAGTCACACCCTCTTCCCTAGCAGCCAGGAGGCTTTTGCTGCTAGTGGCTGCAAGGAGGTGGGAGCAGTGTCTGCACCTGCCCCACCTCCACTAACATGAGCAATAATAATAACCCCCAGCACCACCAGCATGACAGTCTCCTCCACCCCAATTTCAGTTTCCAGCCTGAGCCTTCCAGTGCCAAAGGAGGAGCTAGATCTGAAACCAGGGGAGCTCAATGCCATAGCCAAAGTAGTTCTGGGGAAGGAGGGGGAATATGAGTTTTTGCTCCACACCTCTCAAAGTTCCCCTAGAGCCAGGTCTCATTCTCCAGAAAGCACCTTGGAGGAGGTTAAGGTTGTGGAGGCAAGTGGCTCAGCTGAGTCAGCTCCTCTTGCTGTTGTGCCTCTACCTGCTGAGGAGGGGGTTAAGACAGGATCTGCACCTGCACCCCAGAAGTGAGGGGGTAGTGTAGTGTGGGAACATTTTGAGGTGGCAGATGATCCCAAGTATGCTATCCGCCTCCACTGCTGATGCAAGACCAGCCGGGGCAAAGATAAGAAACACTTCAGCACCATGGGGATGCTGATGCATATCGGGAGGCACCACCCCCTTGCCTTTGCTCCTCTTTAAGCCTGGTACCAGTTGGGAGCATGCCCAAAGGGAAGTCCCCTCTCGCTGCAAAGCTCCCATCCCCCAAGAAGCAGAGGCAGGCCACCATGCACCAGTGGGGGAAAGGTGGAGGGAAAGGGGGGGTGCGTTCCCAAGGCAAGTGAGGTCACCCAGAGCATTGGGGAGATGTTTGCTCCTCTTAGTTGAGTGGCTAGGGTTCAGGGAGCTCATGGCACAAGTGGCCCCATCATACCCACCCATACGCACCACCTTCAGCAGGATGGTGGTGCCCTCCCTGTATGAGGCACGCCGGGAGTACTTGAGGGAGGAGCTGTGCAGGTCTGCAGGTGATCTTACACTTCACCTTGGGCATCTAGGGCAGCCAGGGTGGAAACCATGCCTACGTCTCCCTCACAGGGTACTAGTGCTATCGGTCAGGCCATCAGTGAGCTGTCCTTCAAGCGGAAGTGATGGATGAGTCCCACATGGCAATGGAGATCATGGAGGCCATGAACCACATGGTGCAGGGGTGGCTCATTGAGGAGGGTGAGGTCACCTGCAGGTTCATGGGCATCGACAATGAGGCCAATATGGTCAAGGCAGTCCACTGTGTGTCTCACAAATTCTACCTTATAGCCTTGGAGCTGGACAGGGCTGCCAGTGAGGGCGATGTCACAACCAGCCAGCTCATTTCAAAATGCAGGCAGGTTGTGGGCTACTTCCCGCAGAGCATCAAGCGGGGCAAGATGCTGTGGGACAATCAGGCAGAGCTGAGCATCCCACAGTACACAGTCCTGCAGGATGTGGACACTCGGCCATGAGATGGCCTTGCTTGGGGAGATCGGGATCAGTGGCCCCCTTAACAAAGCTGAGTGGGATACC